TTTATTATTCATTTAAATATTTATTGAGCAGCTAGGGAGGTACAAAAGTGTTTAAAACATGGAAAAGAGTTGAGATAAATGAATAAGTAGAAAGAAAAGTTCATTAAATCACAGCAGTCAAGAAAAGGAGCTTAAGAGTGAGTGGTCAATCAGGAAAGGGAATTGAGATTAAAATAGGAGACTTCAGTCTGGATTATTGATGACACTCAGCATGGACTATATTTGCCTCTCCTTTTTCTCTTTCCCCATCTTTGGGCTTAATTTACCAGTGCCCAGGGTTGTTCAATGAACCTTTTCTATAATTGCTTGCATTTTTGCTTTAATGTTTTCCACAGAATTATGTCCTTTGGGTGTTTTATGATTTTTTTCCTGTTTTTGAAGGATCCTTGACCTGTTGATCTTGGTGTTGATGGTTTTTAGTCTTTTCCATTCTGGTTTGATTTCTGTGCATTTTTGCCTGGAATATCTCATATAGATTCTTTACTGGAGCTTTTTCTTTGGCTTCCTCATTGTCAAAAATCCTCCTCCTCATCATCCTCATGGGCATCCTCATCATCTTTATCAGCAGCAAGTTTTACTTTTTTTGGTGGAAACTTGCTTCCACTTACAGGGGCAGAACACTTTCCCAACATACTTAGGAGTTTCACATCCTCCTCCTCTGCATCTTCCTCCATAGCCACTAATATGCACAGGCCCTGAACTACACTTCAACCATAAGACCACAGGAGGTGTTAATTCAAAGCCACCAAGGGAAACCGTGGGCTGTACACACATTTTCAGAGTTGCCAGTGTTAGTTTAATTGGACTGCCTTCATAATTCATTGCCTCTGCTTCAACAATGTGCATTTCATCCTTTGCACCAGCCCCTAAACTGACCATTCGTAAAGATAATTGGTGCTTTTTCATCATTATCCACCTTAAAGTGATAATCTTTGTTGGCCTTTAGTTCATAACTGAAAAGATAGTTCTGGGGCTTCAGAGGGCTCATGCCCATGTCCACTGAATCTTCCATGGGTGGTAACACACACTTAGGTGAGAAAGAAGGCAGATGGAGATAAACGACTTGTGTTCCTTGAACAGAGGCACAGGACAGAATCACACCAGGCTCCCTTTAGTCTTATTGAGCCAGTTTACTCCAATTCTATAACAGTTTTCAGGTGTTTTAATTAGAATAGTCTAGGATGTAGCATAACTTAGGTTCTAGGTCATACTGCAATAAATTTTTTTTTAAAAAAAGAAAAAAGTCCTTCAAATATGAGTGGCTTAAAAAACAAAGATGTATTTATTACTTAAACTATCCTTCCTGACTTGATGAGGGCAAGAGGTGGGTTGTTCTACATCGTCCTTTCTTGGGGACCTAGGCTGCAAATGGCTTTATCATCTTCAACAATACTGACCTTGAGACTGTGGCAGAGTAAACACTATAAGGACTTACACTTGCAATTAAATGTTTTACCTGGATGTTTTACCACTTCTATCCACAACCCACAACAGACTAGTGACTATAACTAGTCACATGGTCCAGCCAACAACAAGGGAGAGTGGTGGTGGCAGGGATGTACATGTGAAAAGTAATCTCTGTATATCCCTGGAAAGACAGGATAAGCATTACAAATCTCTATCCTATCAGGGAATTCATTTACTGATTGACTCAGGCTAATTGAGTTGCCCTTTTGAAACTGAAGTTTGGATGGTTACCCAAAAAAACAAACAAAAACAAAACAAACAGCCCTATATATAAGGAAATTTTAGGAGTGGATGTTGAATAAGAAATCAATAGTGTGAACTCTGTGATACTTGATCTCAAAGGAGAATAAAGAAATTTCAGGTATGGAAGAAAGTCACAGGGAGGAATAGTTTGTCTAGTTTCATCAGCCCCTATATCAGAGGTTCTCAACCTGTGGGTTGCAACCCCTTTGGGTGTCGAACGACCCTTTCACAGGCGTTGCCTAAGACATAACAGTAGCCAAATTACAGTTATGAAGTAGCAACAAAAATAATTTTATGATTGGCGGTCACCACAACATGAGGAACTGTATTAAAGGGTCGCGGCATTAGGAAGGTTGAGAACCACTGCTCTATATCAATCACTTCATTTATCCTTCTGATTGTAAGATTGGCTCTAGCTCTTTAATGAGTGGGTGTAGATAGACAGTTTCTATTTATTATTATCTAAAAAATTTTTTTTTTCTTTATTGATTTGAGAGAGGATGGGAGAAGAAGAGAGAGATAGAAACATCGACTGACCACCTCCTGCATGTCCCTCACTGGGGATCGAGCCCATAACCTGGGCATGTGCCCTGACCAGGAATTGAACCGGTGATCTCTTGGTGCATGGGTCAATGCTCAACCACTGAGCCACACTGGCTGGGCTAGACAGTTTCTACTTAAAGAGTTGGCTCAAAAGTGCCTTATAACATTTATTGAATTTGAAAATATAGTCTGTTTTCCCATGTTTCATTGTTGTAGTTACTGTCAAGCTGGCTAGATTTATAGTTTAGAACTGGCAAACAACTAAAATTTATCTAATCCAACTCCTTTATTTTACAGATGAGAAAACTAAGGCCCAAATGGATAAAATAATTTGTCAAGGTCACACCTTCTTGTATGTACAATAACAATGCTGTCCTTTGGATGCTCACAACTTTGGAAATGTGATAGTATTCAAGTTCATTAACTTTGATCTAACCTCTCAATAAAATGGTTACTCAGGTAACCTTCCATGTGATATGTTCCATTGTCTATTGGTGGACTTCCTGTCCCCCTGCAAGACCCCCCACAGCTCTGGTTGATGACTAAGAATTTGACGCAGCCTGTGTAAAAGAACTTAGAAGTTTCTACTTGTTCTCAGTATAATGTCATAAAGAATGTTCTGTAGCCCGGCTAGTGTGGCTCAGTAGCTGAGCCTCGACCCATGCACGCAGAGGTCACTGGTTTGATTCCTGTTTGGTACGTGTCCAGGTTGTGGGCCAAATCCCCAGTGGGGGGCATGTAGGAGGCGACCAACTGATGTTCTCTCTTGATGTTTCTATCTCTCTCTCCCTTCCTCTCTCTCTCTAAAATCAATAAAGAAAAAACAATTTTAAAAAAGAATGTTCTGCATAATGTTTTGTTGAGCAGAACTTTAAGTTTTTACATAAGCAAAGATAGGCTGAAAGCCTAGTTGTTGGGGGGGTGGTGTGGAGGAAGTGGTGAAACACTTCTACTTTCTTAAGAAAATATCTGAAACTAGGAGTGATGTGAGGCACAAGCAGCAGCTGGGGTGAGAAAAGAGAGTGAGAGGGCCCAGCAACAGAGAGGGAGGCTGGAGCTTGTGGAGAAAACACAGAGGACAGAGATGTGTTTGGCGGTTAGTAATATATAGAACCTTTTGGGGATATTTTCTCTCAGGAACTTAACCTGTCAAGAGAAGGCAGAGTTTTAGTAATATTCTTCTTTGAAGAGAGTAAAATAAATGTGTTTTTTAAAAGCTGGGACTGTTGTGAATTTTCTGTAAATTCATTATTGGCCTGGAACTTAATGTGTAAAGATTGTTCTCAAAAGTCGGTTGTGTAACTGTACTTCCAGTTCTGGGTGGCAGCTAAAACCTGGGCATGTCCTGAAAAGGGCTTTGATAACAGTGTTCTGTCACCGGCTGAGAAGCACATTGACTCAATAGAGCACAACTGGAATCCCTTAGGAACTAGTTTCTGAGTATATGCTAGAGACACTAGTTATTGGGTATTTTATTATATATTTTACTGTGCTATAAACATGCACTAAATCTTGGACAAACATTCCTTGGGCAGATTTTTTTCTTGTTTTTGGAGCAGGAGATAGAGAAGATAACTATTTTAATCCCTAGGTTTCTGGGATTAATCTGATCAGATTTTAAAAACCTGGGTGTTTAGAGGCAAATGTAAAGCTTTGAACTTGGAGATCTTGAAGCGTTCTACAAGGAAAGCTTTAAACATTTACTAAAATACTTTTACAAATGCTGTTTAAACTAAAAAGTATCTACCTCATTTCTATAAATCATCTAAAGTCTTACTATGATATAAATCTAAAATTTCTGTTCATTTCCAACAACCAAACCCTGCAGCCTTCATAGCGGAATTTTGCTGTTTATAAGCTTAATGCAGAAACCGCTTTAGAGGATAGTAACCATGCATTCAGTAAATGATTGTTGAATGACGACTAATTTCTGGCTCTGCCAGTGTATTTTTTTTTTTACCTTAGACTAGTCACTCTACTTTTCTCTTCTTACAAGGAGATAATAATAAAGATAACTGTAAACTATTCTGTGGAGAACTTTTTGTTTAAAGGATTGCCAATAAATACGGGATTCACAAAGCCTCACAAACCTCCCTCAAAAGTTGAGCTTCTTGAGGGATAAGAAACTTTTTTCCCCTCTCCTATGAATCTTAATCGTGTTTCTGTAGTACAGTTTCTGGCCTTTAAACATGTCTCGGTAAATACTGTACATTTATGAACGTTATTAGGCAGATTAGTCTTGGAAAGCCAGTGCCTCTTAAATCCCTTTTCACACTCAGTATCTAAAAGGCCGCCGCTATTTGCTCTAGGATAAGTACCCAAGGCATTTACTTAAAAATACCCAAGTCTAGAGAAAAAATTCTTCTGTCTTTAGGGCACCATTTCGCTTTTCTGCGGCACTGCGCCCCAGGCTTGGGATCTGGGTCCGGAGGCACAGGGAAGAGTTCGGTAAAGGAAGCTCAATTCCCCGCCTCTGATTGGTCGGCTCGCACTCCACTCACGCAGCTCGTGTCTTTGATTGGTCACCGTGGCACCCCACTCGGCCCGCGACTACTTTGTGTGCCGGGGCAGCGCACTCAGGTCCTGGGTCTCAGCTTGCCTTCTGGGCCGGTGTGAGCTAGCTCTTCGGCCCACTGCTCTGCATCGCGGGTGCCAGGAATTTCCCGAGTCCGAGCGGGTAGGAAGCATCCTAAGGAAAAGCCCCCCACCCCTCCATTCCGTGTTCTCTTTCCCGTACAGAATAAACTTCCGCCTCAGAGGGACTGTAGCAGCCGCAGGTCGGGGGAGAGGCCGCATCGAACTCAGGCCCTCGTGGGGGATCTTTATGTCCGGCGAACGTGGAAGCACAGCTCTCACAAGACAAAGTAGGGCTTCGCTAGTCGCATGTAGGTGCGTGCCATTCTCTGTTCGCGTTGCAAGCTGCAGCCGGGCAGCACCGATCACCCCTAAAAAGGGGCAAAGAGCCCGCTTCCAGTCCCCAGTGCCAGTGCTCCGTGGGGCCGCGGCTGAACTGGCACGGGCCAGTCCGTTCGGGCGGTCGAGTATACGGGATTCCCTGGAGGTGGCGCTCCCGGGAATGCGGAGCCAGCTAGACTCGCGTCCCCCTCAGCCTCCGGCCTTCAAGCGGTAGAGGGCGGCCTACGCTCGTGTTGGAGCCCGCGCCCGCGCGCGCAGCTGCTGCCCTGCTGGAAGTCTCCCGGTCCCGCTGTGGCTCGCGGCTCTTCCCGGCCGTGGATGCTGAGGCCACGCTATCCAAGGGCGCAGCGAAAAGGGGGCGGGTAGAAACCCTGGCACTTGCCAGGGTCGCCGTAGGTGGCCGGCGCATGCGTGCCCTCTCCCAGAAGACTGGAACGCTGAGGGGCGCGCGCCCCCATTCGCGCGCGCACGCTTGCGCTAGCCTGGGTTTCCCCGCCTGCTCTCGTTGTCAGAGCCGCTCCGGCGCGTGCGCGCGTTATCTCCGGCCGACCCGAGTGGCCGGGTTCCCTCCGCACCAGGCCCCCGCCCCTCGCCACCCCCCTCAGTCCCCAGTCCACCCGTCCCCTTCCTCTCCTCGCGGAATGGGGCCGGCGCTGCTCGGGGTCGCGCGCCCAGGACCCGGCTCGCGCTCGGTCTCGCGCTGTCAGCGTCTGCCCGGCTCGCGCCGCCTCGCGCTCTCCCTCAGTCACTGGCGCCGAAGGCTCCGTTAAGCCGCGGCGGTGGTTCCTGTTTCCGTTTCTTCCTCTCCCTTCAGTCGGCAGTAGCATCCTCCACCCAGCCACCCCTCCCACTCCCCCAGCGCAGGGCAGCTGCGGCTGATTGCTGTGGCGGCGGCGACTGGGGAACAGCGGAGACCGCCTCTGCTCCCGCCTCGGGTAAGGGGGCGTTTGGGGGCCGGGCCCCACGCGCCTCGGGGTTTGGGGCTGGGCAAGCGCGGGATCCGATGAGGCTCCGGGGATATGACTGGAGGCTGTCGCTGCTCTTTTTCCCCAGGCGATCTCCGGGCCTGTTGCTGCAACTGCTGCTGCTTATCCAGCGGCTCCGGCTCCGGGAAAAGTGGGGAGGGAGCCCCTGGGACTCTCTAGCTGGTGCCTTTGCGCGGCCAGGAGGGCGCGGGCAGGGGGTGAGGGGCGCCAACCGCCCGGCCCGGGACGTGGAGCGGTGCGGCTGCTGCCCTATGTGTCGGGCATCCTTGCACAGGGCAGGGGCCCAAGCCCAGCAGAGGAGGAATGGGGGCGGGGTAGGAGGTGTCCCTCTTTTCCTCCACACCTACCTGCCCTTTCACCAGCAGCTCTGACCCTGTAGTCACAGACTGTGGGGAGGAGGATGCTAGTGCGTTGTGGGCTTTCGAGAGGGGTTCTCGGGCTAGAAATCTGGGAGTGGACTCATACAAAGATCCACTCCCAGCGAGGAGCCAATGCCTGGGCACTTAACGGCATGAGTGCCCCTCTACCCCCATTTGATGGGGAAATGATGAGCTGGCGGCTTTTGAGTATCTAAACTTATTTTGAAAGGTTAAATGAGTCTTTATTAGTTAAAGGAGGTTTGTCCTGCAAGAGTGAGTGGATTGTAGGTCGCAGCACTTGTTCGCTCACCGTGGGGATTGCAATCTTTAGCTACACAGAACGTCAGGGACGCAGTGTTTTTCTTAAGTTCAATGACAATGTCGTGGTTAGTTTATCCCTGGAGAGCTTTTAGCGTTTTGCCATGTATTAGCTTATATATTATTTATTTATTTATTTATTATTTTAGTTGTAGAAATGGAGTATATTTTCTTTAAGAAATTTAAAACTGGGAAGAAAAATGCCACTTAACATTGGCATGTCAGTATAGGTCAGCAGGAAAAAACACTGTGATAATCTTGTCTCTTTGATACCAAGAAGATAATTCTAGTCCAAGCTTTAATATGCTTCCTATATTTTCTGCTGCTTTACATCCTTTCCCATATTTCACATCAGAGGATTGTTACAGCCTGTAAAACTTCATTAACAGGAACAACTCTGTATTCACAGAGTTCTCAAAAGGCACTCTGACCCGGCAGGTAGCCCAGCAGTTTTATTCTCTTGAATGCTCTAGCCATGAAAAAACTTAATAGGACCAAGACAAATCCAATGATTAGAAGAAGAAATCGATTGAGTTTTGGAATGTTTGGTGCATTGGATGGGTCTAGGTTTATGAAATGTAAACCAAGCTTGCATTGTAAACAGGAAGGTGGATGCAAGTCCTTCCATTTTCTCTATAGGCCAAGAAAACTACTGGTCTCTGATGCCCATGTTCATCAGTCATAGAGCCAACACTTGGAGGTTCAACAGTAACACAATAAATTATTCCTCTGGTGATGACAAAGTAAGACACTACCACTACACTCATGGCCTAGGACATATGCATTCAGGGTGGCTTCTACAGCTTCAGGTTGGGTCATTCCAGCATTAAGAATGGGACTCAGATATGCATGTATGCGTAACCAATGGACATAGACAACAATGCTGGGGAGGAGGGGCGGGATGGGTAGTTGGGTGTCTAGTGCGGAAAAAAGGAGAAACATCTGTAACAAAAATAAATTAATAAAAATAGGGAAAAATTAAAAAAAAAAAAGCCCTGTCCAGTTTGGCTCAGCAGTTGGAGATTGGCCTGTGGACCAGAGAGTCATCGGTTCAGTTCCCACTAGGGGCATGTACCAAAAAAAAAAGAATGGGACTCAGTACAAAGCCTCCAGGTTGGTGGTGGCAGGAGCAGCTCTTCGTCTAGATAATAGCTTTTTGATTGAGGCCTTGGATAAAGGCAGGAAGAAGTGTTCTACTTTCTGTGTTTTAAACTTATCATGAGTAACTGACTGAACTTTGGCTTGGCTGTTTTTAGAAACTGTAGATAGGGTTTCATTATATTAGTTTTCCCCCCCTTGTTATTCTGGGGGTAAGTGCATGTTTATTTTCTTGATTAAATTTTATGTTTTCATGCATAATTCTTTTAATAGAAATCATTTTAGGAGAGAGATTATTTAAGCACGACAGAGCTACATTGAAATAATGGAGTAAGTTGCATTCTCCTTTTAAGTTAAAAACAACCTAAAATGTTATGCTAAAATAATAAGGCCCTGTATGTTGCTAGCCTTGTGAAATACATTATAAAATGTGTATAGAGCCCTGGCCCGTTTGCTCAGTAGTTAGAGCTTCGACCTGTGGTCCAGAGAGACCCGGGTTCGGTTCCCGCCAAGGGCACGTACCTCAGTTGTAGTTTGTCCCCGGTCCTGGTTGGTCATGCGGGTGGCAGCCACTTGATGTGTCCCTTTCACGTCGATGTTTCTCTCTCTCTCTCTCTCTCTCTCTCTCTCTTCCTCAGTCTCTCTCCCACTCTATCTGAACAAAAAATGGAAAAATGTCCTTGGGTGAGGATAAAAAAAAATGTGTATAGAAAGTTGATTACTTGATTTATAAATACAATTGTAAGAATAGGTGGGAATTCAAACATTTGAAATTGTGATTTCACAGTTTAATATGTAAAATATAGTGAGTTATAAATCAGTAGGTTAGAAGGAAAATAGAAGAGTAGTTTGGCGGCATGGATTTTCCTCTTGCTGCATTATAAATTGAGAATTCTACTTGAAGAACTGAAGAGTTGGAACGAAATTTCCATAGACTGCAGAAACATGCAAAAATGTATCTTTGATCAAGTAGTGAGCTAACATGAAGAATATATTTTGGTTTATTAGGATAGCGGTTCAAAATAATTTCCATGAAATATACCAACACATAGATTTATTTTAGGATGTTCTTAAATTTTAAGAGTCACTTGAAGTTGTTTTTCTATAAGTCAGTTCTGTTTGAGATGTATAGGATTGAAAAAGCAATAATTCTGATTACACTCTGAAATGTTTGTTTACAGATTTTAAATACTTATATTAAGGAATTGGAATGTCTTTAAAAGTGGTGAATTTTGAAATTTGCTAGTGATTTGGGAAAACTTGTGTTCCTTGTTTATTTTTTTTAAGTGCAGTTTATTAGCAGGTTGGTCTGGAGGGGGAGCTAGTGTCAAAGCAAAGCATAGCTTAGTATGTTTGAACTTTTAAAATACCTCAAACCAGATTTTATGACCAGAAGAAACGTACATTTTTAATGAAAAGAGTAAAGGGATTGATATGGCATATATCTGTACGTAGTTGTTTGTGGAATATATATATTATGTATTACAAATTAGTTAAAATATATTTTCATGATCTGAAATAATGGAAAGTACATGTTTAAGGTATATTGAATTTCTCATTTAAAATCTCTGAAAATATGTCTCCAAATTTAAGAGTGTGTGATAGTAGCTTCTTAACCTTCTTGTTCAGTGCATCAGAAGGGAAGGAGTATAACTTGATCGTTGGGGCATGTTGCATGTTCTTACACGATTTTCATTGTAATATCTACAGTCTTAAATATCAAAAAAGCTTCAAGTAGAGTCTTATATGGGCAAATATATCAATTGTGTAGTAATATAGGTATTTATCAAAAGTAGAGGTGTTTTCAATAAAGAAATAGACCTTTGAGACATCTGTAGAGCAAGGATCCCAAGGTCACTTAAACTCTGTCTCCCGCAATATAGTGCAGTGAGTCCAGCTGATCTACTAATTTGGACTTGTGCCTTTGAATATGAAGCATTTATTTATTTTTTTGTCTGTGGTACTTTATTTAGATGTCTAAACTGTAATCAGGTATATGAACTTTCACTGTTCACATTCTTCAAATTTGAGGCTAGAAATTGATAATGTGTACATTAAAATCATTAGAATATTTTGTTCTGAGGACAGTGGTTGGGCTGTGTGTGTTCTCTATTGCTCTTCATTATGTAAATAGAATCTCAATGATGATAAAATAAAAAAAGATTCTTTGAAAGGAATGACAATATCTGTAAGAATAGTGAGGTGTTTATCA